AAAGTTATTTGTTGTAGAGAAGTATGAAGAGTGATTGTTTTCCCCCCCTTTGAAAAGTTGCATGTCGACAATAGAGGTCAAATTTGACCCTCTCCTTACATCCCATTTTCAATATTTCCCTGTGAATTATATTGTATACGTGGAAGCACTTTAGTACAACCCTCCACAGCAGATAAAACCAGCACCAAAACCAAGATGTACTGGTATGTTACCCGCCATTACCTAGTACTTAAAAGTACAGCTGGAAAGTAGTCCAGCTTCTGCAGAAGCTCTTTTCACTCTGTGTGCCCAACTGCCTACTCACAAAATGGCAGAGGAGTTTTAGGAAAAACTGAGGTTTGCCTAGGGAGACTAATCATATTTAACATCATACTTATTTGGAGCACTAAACCCCACCCCCTTGATTATTATACTGTGGGGTCCACTACGCTGATGTAACACCACTGAGATCACCTATTTTGGCTGCACATTAAAGAAAGCCACTCCTGCACTAACAGAAAATTAAATCCTAGTGCTAACCCCTATTTCCCATATGCCCTCTTCTCCCAGTTACTTATTCTGATGTGGCAACACACCTACCTACATACATTCTCTGCCCTGCCTCCCCCCATGCCGGATGTGCAGAATCAGTAAAAAGGCAGTGAATCTAGTGAGAATGGAAGTCAAAAATCTTGAATTCTTATCCCAGCTTTGCCACTGACTCCCTGCATAGTCATCAGACAAGAGAGTCTCTATAAAAATCTCCCCACTGTGTTTTCCACTGCATGCATCCGATGAAGTGAGCTGTAGTTCACGAAAGCTTATGCTCAAATAAATTTCTTAGTCTCTAAGGTGCAACAAGTACTCCTTTTCTTTTTGCAGATACCGACTAACATGGCTGCTACTCTGAAACCTGTCATTGTGCAAGGCACTGAATTTAGCCGTATGGAGTGGAAATCTATCAACTTCATGAAAAAACTTGTACAGATACAGACAGACATCATCTTCCTTTCCAAATGAAAACAGATGGACATCGTACCAAAAGGACTGAAGGTAAAAAATCCATTACAATCTACATGCCACACACTCACAAAGAAACTGCGGAACCACCTGATCAACATCCTCTACAGCAACCAGGGAAAGATTAAGAATGAGCTCTCAAAACTGGATACTCTCATAAAAAAAACAACCTTCCACAGAAGCTTCCTCGTGGCTGGACTTTACAAAAACTAGACAAGCCATTTACAACACATACTTGCTTCTCTACAAAAGAAAAAGGACACTAAACACTCTAAACTACTACATGCCACAAGGGGCCACAACAGTGGTTCCCTTAACCCACTCAGCAATATTGTTAATCTATCCAACTATACTCTTAGCCCAGCAGAATAACCTGCCCTATCTCGGGGCCTCTCCTTCTGCCCCTCCACCCCCACGAACATTATATAGTTCTGTGGTGACCCAGAATCCTGTCTCCGACTCAAGGAATATTTCCAACACTCCTCTGAACAACATACTAACCCACAGAGACCTTCCTACCAACACTATAAAGAAGAATTCTGGGTGGACTCCTCCTGAAGGTCGAAACAACAGGCTGGACTTCTACATAGAGTGCTTCCGGCGACGTGCACGGGCTGAAATTATGGAAAAGCAGCATCACTTGCCCCATAACCTCAGCCGTGCAGAACACAATGCCATCTACAGCCTCAGAAACAACTCTGACATCATAATCAAAAAGTGACAAAGGAGGTGCTGTCGGCATCATGAATAGGTTGGAATATGAACAAGAGGCTGCTAGGCAGCTCTCCAACACCACTTTCTACAAGCCATTACCCTCTGATCCCACTGAGAATTACCAAAAGAAACTAGGTTTCAGAGGAACAGCCGTGTTAGTCTGTATTCGCAAAAAGAAAAGGAGTACTTGTGGCACCTTAGAGACTAACCAATTTATTTGAGCTACACCATTTGCTCAAGAAACTCCCTGAAAAAGCACAAGAACAAATCTGCACAGACATACCCCTGGAATCCCGACCAGGGGTATTCTATCTGCTACCCAAGATCCATAAACCTGGAAATCCTGGGCGCCCCATCATTTCAGGCATTGGCACCCTGACAGCAGGATTGTCTGGCTATGGAGACTCCCGCCTCAGGCCCTACGCTACCAGCACTCCCAGCTATCTTCAAGACACCACTGACTTTCCGAGGAAACTACAATCCATCGGTGATCTTCCTGAGAACACCATCCTGGCCACTATGGATATAGAAGCCCTCTACACCAATATTCCACACAAAGATGGACAACAAGCCATCAGGAACAGTATCCCCGATAACGTCACAGCAAACCCGGTGGCTGAATTTTGTGACTTTGTCCTCACCCATAACTATTTCACATTTGGGGACAACGTATACCTTCAAATCAGCGGCATTGCTATGGGTACCCGCAAGAGATCCACTTCCTGGACACTACAGTCCTAATAAGCGATGGTCACATAAACACCACCCTATACCGGAAACCTACTGACCGCTATGCCTACCTACATGCCTCCAGCTTTCATCCAGACCACACCACACAATCCATTGTCTACAGCCAAGCTCTACGACACAACCGCATTTGCTCCAACCCCTCAGACGAGACAAACACCTACAAGATCTCTATCAAGCATTCTTACAACTACAATACCCACCTGCTGAAGTGAAGAAACAGACTGACAGAGCCAGAAGAGTACCCAGAAGTTACCTACTACAGGACAGGCCCAACAAAGATAACAATAGAACGCCACTAGCCGTCACCTTCAGCCCCCAACTAAAACCTCTCCAACGCATCATCAAAGATCTACAACCTATCCTGAAGGATGACCCACCACTCTCACAGATCTTGAGAGACAGGCCAGTCCTTGCTTACAGACAGCCCCCCAGTCTGAAGCAAATACTCACCAGCAGCCACACAACAAAAACACTAACCCAGGAACCTATCCTTGCAACAAAGCCCATTGCCAACTGTGTCCACATATCTATTCAGGGGACACCATCATAGGGCCTAATCACATCAGCCACACTGTCAGAGGCTCGTTCACCTACACATCTAGCAATGTGATATATGCCATCATGTGCCAGCAATGCCCCTCTGCCATGTACATTGGCCAAACTGGACAGTCTCTACATAAAAGAATAAATGGACACAAATCAGATGTCAAGAATTATAACATTCAAAAACCAGTCGGAGAACACTTCAATCTCTTTGGTCACTTGATTACAGACCTCAAAGTGGCAATTCCTCAACAAAAAACCTTCAAAAACAGACTCCAACGAGAGACTGCTGAATTGGAATTAATTTGCAAACTGGACACAATTAACTAAGGCTTGAATAAAGACTGGGGGTGGATGGGTCATTACACAAAGTAAAACTATTTCCCCATGTTTACTCCCCCCCCCCCCCCGCCTTCCTCACACATTCTTGTCAACTGCTGGAAATGGCCCACCTTGATTATCACTACAAAAGGTCCCCCCTCCCCCGGGTAATAGCTCACCTTACTTGATCACTCTTGTTACATGTGTATGGTAACACATGTTCTCTGTGTATATAAAATCTCCCCACTATATTTTCCACTGCATGCATCCGATGAAGTGAGCTGTAGCTCACGAAAACTTATGCTCAAATAAATTTGTTAGTCTTTAAGGTGTCACAAGTACTCCTGTTCTTTTTTCTCTGTACTTGTTTCCTCATCTGTACTACTCTTCTACCTATTTCACAGGAATTCTGAGAGGCATAATTCCTTAGCGTATGTAAAGCACTTGAGATTCCTAGAAGAAAGGCGCTATAGATAAACAGAGTGTTATTAATCTGCACAGGTCCCATGATGAGGAAGGGAAAGTAACACCAAGATCTCAAAGTTGCATGAATGGAAGTAACTAGCATTTTGTTGCATTATACTTGGCAAATATAATGCAAGTCACAGGAAAACAACATGCACACTGGGGAAGTGGTCAGATACTGTAGTGATGGTGGCTATGTTAATCACCATCTAACACACTGTATGTACAGCGAATGACTGCTTGTAGACAATGTTTGGTGGGTGAGGCTTCCATGACTTGCCTCACCTCACTACCAATCAATACCTATGGGGAAAACAGGGACACGCAGCACAATATTCTCATTTGAGAGAAAGCTGCAGAGACCCGCCTCAAGCTCATCACCAGAGTACAGGATACTGAAGTGGGGAGAGGTTCCCAGAGCTTTTCCATCACCCCATGAAGATCAGTGGGTGATAGGGAGGATTTAAAGAGGAGGAATGTAGCAATCTTTTCTGAAAGAGGGGGAATATAGCAGTATTTTCTGGGAACCTGCTGCCCCCCCAACTCATCACAATGATGATCAGGCTGCTGAGCCAGGGAGGAGGGAAGGGAGAGAGTAGGAGAGAAAGATTTCCACACGGTTTCCCTCTCATCCCCCTGTGGGCCTGAGCACTAGCTGTGTGAGGTGTGCAGTAGGTCCCTTGAAAAGGGACCTGTTGAGGCCTTCCCCACTCATAACAGCAATGGCCAGGCTGCTCAACCTGAGAGTGGTGGCGGGGCAGGAAGAGGAGCAGGATTCCCAAGGTGTCTCTCATTCCCTGCAGACACACCAGGGGGCTGGGGGATAGGAAGGAGAAGGGAAAGTGGAAGGGAGGGGAGGCAGCGTTTTCCTGGGGACCTGCCGAGGCCTCCCCAACTCATAACAGCGATGACCAAGCTGCTCAGCCTGGGAGCGGGGGGGGGGGGGGGGAAGCGAGATTCCCAGGGCGTCCCTCATCCCCAGCAGGCGCATCACCGAGGTGCGGGTGGGGGGGGGGGTCAGGAAGGAGGCGACAGGGGGCAGCAGCGTTTCCCTGGGAACCTGCCGAGGCCGGCCCAGCTCATCACAGCGGAGCCCGGCCGCTGAGCCCGGAGGATGGATGCGGTGTGGGGTGGGGGGGTGGTCTCCCGCGGCTCCCCGGCAGCGCACGGCGGGGGCGCAGCATCCCCGCGGGCCGGGCCGCCCTTACCGGAGCGGGGATCGAAGGTGACCACGAACACCGCCACGATCTGGTCCGCCTCCGCCTCCGGCCCCCGCGGCAGCTCCCCGGGGCCGCCCCACGCCGCGCCGCCCCCCGGGGCCAGGCTCCAGCCGCCCCGCTCCGGCTCGGGCTGCGGCAGGGAGACCGCGGGGCCCTCGGCCCAGAAGAGCAGCGGCGCCTCGTCTGCCGGCTCCACCATGGCCTCGGCCGGCCGACTGCGCCGCGGAGAGCCGGGCGGGCGGGGAGGGGCGGGCGGCCGCGGAGCAGGGGGCGGGGCTCAGCCCGCTCGGGGGCGGGGCTTCCGGGCTGTGAACACGCTCTGTCCCGCCGCCCGCTTGTGGGCCGGCCGCAGCCCGTCACGTGACCGCGCGCTCGCGGGGCCGGGGGGGGAGGGGGCGCTGATTGGAGTCGCAGCGGGGCAGCGGACAGCGGCGCGTGACGCGTGCCCAGGCCCCCTGTCCCCGGGGAGCCGGGCACGCGCTCAGCACGGGGCCTGCGGAGAGCGCTTCGGAGCAGCAGAGCCGTTCCCCCGCGGGTCCCCAGGGCGCTGCAGCGGGGCTGGCGTTCCTCTGTGCCCTGGGTGTTTGTGCGTCACTGGATTGCGGGTGCTGGTGAGCGCTCCAGCGTTTAAGAAGGGGAGCCAGTGACGTTACCCACAAGTACAAGTAGTTACATCACCTCCTCGGCCCTTCAGCACCTCCTGGGGTCTGAAAGGCCAGAGATGAAAACACACCTAGGTCCTGACCCTGCAAACTGCTTTGCATAAATGGGCTGAAGTAGAGGGGTCCATCGGTGCAGTGCGATTTACAGGACTGGGGCCCTAAATCAGTGGTTTTCAAGCTGTATCTGTGGACCCCTGGGGGTCTGCAGACTATGTCTAAGATTTCCAAGGGGGTCTGTACTTCCATTTGAAATTTTGTAGGGGTCTGCGAATGAAAAAAGGTTGAAAACCACTGCCCTGGATCGATTAGACATACTGGGTGCTATTAAAAATTAAATGCTGTATTGTGGTATGAGGCTACTGTGCTATTGCCTAGAATATTTTTATTACAGTATTGTTTTTATTGCTCTTTGTTTTAGGATATTTCTACCCATCCCCCTTGTATTAGGTGCCATTACTTAAACTTAGAAGTGCATCAGTTCCCTCTGGGAAGAAAAACTAAATTCTCATCTTCTTCCCTCACAGATTAAAGTCACTTTCTTAAAAGGAATTAAATCTACATTGTTTGTTTCCTAGAGCATGCAGCTGGGGCCACAACTCAGAGAAGAGTTTCATGCCCCCAGAGTGGAGAAACTGCTGGATCTCAAGTGACTTGGAGTTTGTGCAAGTCAGTTTCTTTACTGAGCTTAGTATCCTCACAAACTGGAACCTAAACTGTCAGTTTCATCATCCCTGTTAAATGCAACTGGCATCTTGGGATGTGCAATCAGATAATTATAAATATGGGTTATTTATACTGTACCAGGAGATAACTTTTCAGCGGCATGCACTGTTGATCGTATAGATAGATTAGATTATAAAATTATTTTGATACCATTATTTTTTGGAAAAAAACCCCACAGATAATTGTGCCACTGAGCCAAACATTAGAATGTCATTTGCTGCAATATTTCTGACCTATATTGTCTGTGCTAATTTAGGCCCTGATCCTGAAAGTGGATGCGTTTGGGCGCCTCATTATACCAACACAGAGCCCGATTGAAGTCAATATGGACTCCTGCACAGATCTCTTTGCAGAATTAGTGTTTAAGGATGTAGTTTCCTTGGGGCTGTGCCTTGTGACTTCCGCTATGTTATGCATAACACTGAGCAGTGTTAACACTCCATATATATTAATAACAATTAATACAAAGGTAACCAAAATAGACCTAGCTAATGAAGTGTAATCTGGCTAGAGCAAAGAACAGAGATCCCAGACTCCTAAATTTCTGGCTCTACTGCTGATTCTTTTTGGGAACTTGGAAAAGTCTGTTTCTCTTAAAAAAGTCACTTAATCTTCCTGTGCATTATTATACCCGTCTTTATAATCCTAACAGAGAAGAATCTAGAGGCTCTGGTGGATGCTCTTTCATCCCAATTAGGCAGAATTCCCAACTAACAGTAGACCTCTTTTCAGAAGAAATGCTACTGTCTGAGTCGCTGTAGAGCTCTACTGAGCATGTCATACTAAATCAGTCCATGGAATTGAGCAGAGCCAATATCTGCACTAGGGTAGAAACAGAACCTATTGCCTGCTCCATGTCAGCACCCTCAATAGCTTAAGAGATGCTCATCAGGAATAACAGCAAGGAGTCCTTGTGGCACCTTAGAGACTCTAAGGTGCCACAAGGACTCCTCATTGTTTTTGCTGATACAGACTAACACGGCTACCCCTCTGAAACCTGTCATCAGGAATAGTTGGCTCGGAAGTTGCAAGCTCGCCTCTGGGGGAGGCAGTGATGAGGACTGAGAGGTAGTACAGCTACAGAGGGACTGAAAGCTGTTTTCAGAGTAGCAGACACAATCAGGATAGGATTGAAACACAAACATCTAAGAACTACCAAGGCACTCCAAAAGCAACCAAGTTGAGTGTAATTACCATCCTCCTTAAGCAGCCATCATTGTCATTAAATATCATAAGGCTTAAATCAGTTCCCTTGGAGACTTTCTGATTAATTGGATTACCCAGTTCAGCAGCCCAAATTAAAAGGAAGGTATTGGCATAAAATTCTTAATGGTCTAACTTTTTTCCTATGGAGCTGATCTGGATATGCAATACACCATTCAAAAGCTTGTGATCCATAGATGTCAAAAGTGGCTTTGGTGTTTCAAATTGATCAAGTGGTGACCAGCTGCTATGAACTTCAGATCAGGTAGATTCAATATTGAGAAGGTGCACTGTTTGTTTCACAAAACCTGTACACAGATTTACTTAGCAGCAGCATGTGGTATTTAGCCTATGGCATTTTCTGTGGAAGGTGACTTGTAAAGGGGAAAAAAAGTGGCCTGTTTTGCTATTGAATGAGGCATAAAGAAAGGCCGGTCCTGCATATATTTACACACATACTTAGCTTTACGCTCCACGTAGTCCCATTGACTGCAACAGGACTACTTAAATATTTAAAGTTAAACACATACTGAAGTGTTTGCAGGACCAGGGAAAAGTCTGAACAATTATTTAATTTTTCATATTAGAAATACCAAATATTGAGTTGTTTTTTGTTGGAAAAATTCCTCCCAGGACTAAAGCAATTATAACTTCTTAGGAAACAGAAACCTGAGTACATTAAGAGCTGAAGCAATTTTTAGACATACTTACAGTTTAAAACTCAAGGCCAAATTCTCTGCTTGAGTAACTTCATTGAAACAAAGGGAATTATGCCAAAAGAGAATTTGCCTTCTGTGCTATTTGTTTCTGTTAATACATATTTAATTCAAATAATTGAAAAACAATTGGGCAAAAAGTGTTTTTTGAAACAGATTCAAATATCCCCGTACGTCTAACTGAGGGCTGATAAATCTCTTAACCAGTTCTACAGTCCTCCAAAGAGTTGTCTAGCAACACAGGAAGTCAAGACTTGTTATTTCTAATATACCACAACAAGCAAGGGTGAACATCCTTTTATGCCTCCTTTATATGGTAAAAAGAAACAAAAAGTAGTCACAAGCCTCCCCCTCCTTCTCCTTTTTCCAGTCACATGTCCGGTTTTCTTCAGTAAAGCCCTTTATGATATAAGGGTGGGACGGTTTGGGAGACAGGGGACTGACAATTGGGGGATTGTTATACCAATAAAATAAAAACCAGCAGGATCTTATTAAATGGGAAAAGGCAAAATGCCACATTTATTGTGAATACAGAAAGAATCATAGTAAGCAGTTAGTTATAGCTATAACATTCCATTCAAGTTCATATTTATTCACACATTCATTTATACACACACATAGACACACACACAGGTTCTGCAAGGTTGTTATCATAGTTACCAGCCTTAGAGTTGCTCATGCCAAGCCACTGGCCAGGTGGCCTGGACATGAGGAGGGAGCAGGGCCTTGTCAGATGCTCATCTGATGCTCCTGGAAGTTGGTTTGCAGAATCAGACCCCAAAATTCTCACTTTCTAGAGTCCATTTTTATAGGAATTTCTTCCTATGCCAGTCTATGGGAATTGCTTCATCATGCTGTTGCTGAATCAATCAGCAGATAGCACATTCCTGACGGCTCCGTGCTGCTAGATGTTATCTTGTTCTTTGGTTCTCCCATCCTTGAGGCTGTTGGGTGGATTCCAGTCTGCCCTCCCGGGCGGGCGGAGGGCGGTGTCCTCTGATTATTTCCACTTGACGCCTTCTTCAGCCAAAGGAAACTGGATTCTTAGGCTGGCACCTCCCTGATTATTCAGTTATTATCCACACCAAGCATCCATCCACATACATCCTCTATCTCTATTTTAATCACAATTGTTAACAAAGCGAGATGAATACAACAAAAGGGCGGGGAGTCTCTGGGTGCTGTTTCTGTTGTTACAGAGTATTGCTTTGACTCTCTCTCTGTGTAAGTAGTTGTTGTTACAAAGGATTGCTTTGAGAACAGACTCTGTCTTAGAATGTACTAACACAATTAGCAGCTTGCAAGTTTCACACATAGAGGGAGAGAAACAGTACCAAAAATCAAGAGACCTCTTAATTAGTAATACCCTGGAATTTAAACTATGGGGAATCAAACTCATTTGTGATTTTAATACAGAACTTCTTTAATATGATCCAACAGGACGAGGTTTTTCATCTCTAGGTCACTAGTTCAAAGCTAGTTAATAGTGGCTGGAAATTATTTATTTATTCGCTTAGATTTAAAATAAAAGATTCCTACCCAAATTCTAGTCACCCTAGCACATCATTAAGAACACATTGAAACCTTCCCTCCCGCACAGCATTAAAATAGTCATTTCACAAGAACTCAGCCAGCCAGATACCTATATTCCAGCTTTTCACCATGTTGGGAAGCACACCCTCAGCCCTCTCCAAAACCCTTCCCAAACAGGTGTCTTTGACAGTGTGCCTAGAAGGTCAGTGAATCTGGGTTATTTCAGACTACATAGGTTTGAGAGCTATTACAAGGAAGACCCTGCTAGCTGCCTGGTCTCTGGGGGTCCAGCTCCAGCAGCCCAGCTGACTGCAGTTGTGATAGTATGGCCTAGGAGAGAGGTGATCCCTCAAGTAAGCCAGTCGCAGGCCATTTATGGCTTCATAGGTC